GAAGCAGAGCTGTGTGTGTGTGTGTGTGTGTGTGTGTGTGTGTGTGACAGCGGCTAAAATAGAGATTTACTGCAGTGACACGGACCAAACTCCTCCATTTCTCCATCCTCTCCTCCGTCTCACCCTCAGGTCTCCCGGCCCTCGGAGAGGAACCAACATTGATCTGAGTTACAGCCTCAATCTACAGAGAATCATCCAGGTCCACACACACACACACACACACCCACACCTTTCCCTGCAGCCTCGTGTCTCCTCCCAGTTTAACGTAAAATCAAAGGTAAAAAAATAACCCCCCGACTCCCCCCACCAACCCCTAAATGCTGAAGGCAGCATAGCGGTGGTTCTCAAACTATGGTACACGTACTGCAATAGGTACTTGGACCTGACTTGATTTTCAACAACTTGGTAAATACAGCTGGTCCTCATCTACTGGTCCTCAGCTGAGATATTATTGCTGTTGTTCTTGTGGTTGTTCTTGTGGTGGTGCAGTAACTGCAGTACAGTAAACTTGGTGGTGCAGTAACTGCAGTACAGTAAAGCTTTAACTGTCATATTCTCAGTCAAAAAGTTCTAAGACAAATATGTTGTATATCATTTAAGAAAAACCAAACCATATAAAATCGAGTTCTTACCCAGCATGGCGTAGTAAAAGGGGAACTGGGCAGAGTCCGTAGAGTACTGGGGCAGTGCATAGAGTCCACCGGGGAGGGAGTTCCACAACAAGTGGTTTCGCGTCACGTGGGAGACCACGCGGTCCTGGATGATCTGGACACAACAGGACAGGACGGAACAGAAGAGGAGACTTGAGCGTCTGGTCTGATTAAAGGAGCTCTCCTGACAAAAACTAAATCCAGAAATCCCATGAACTCTCGCCCTGTGTTCTCCCAGCCTCACCTCCAGAGTAGTTAAGACGATTTTGGCTACAGAGGAAAAGTAGGCGTCCCACAGGAACTGGATCTGCTGGCGCAGAGCCAGGATCCTGTCGCGGCCCACGGAGCGGGTGATGGAGGGAACCTGGAGGAGGAGACAGAGACGACAGAGACGACAGAGACGACAGAGACGACAGAGACGGAGATTATGTCGGATTTGGAAGAACGTTGAAGTCTGAAGATGAGAGACTCTGTGAGGGTGAGGGAATCACAGACAGACAGACAGACAGACAGGATGTCTGTGGACATGCTCCCCTCCCCTTAGAGGGACTTCTCCCGTCCCTGTGGACCCCCCCCCCTCCCCTCCCCATCAGCTCCAGCCACTGTCCATCATCAACATTCCCTCCACGGCAGCTGACCTCAGGTCTGTCCAGGAGACAGTTTCCTCTCAGTGACTTTATCAACGTGATAACAACAACTGGTTTATTTCAAACTCTTGTCTTGGACTGAAATATATTTTTATACAGTGATGTTTTTCAAATGACCACATTTCCTTCTTCACTGTCCCTCTGATCTGACCAATGACTGCCCTGTCCATCCTGTCCATCTTCATCTTCATCTTCTTCTTCATCACCCTGTCCATCCTGTCCATCGTCATCTTCATCTTCATCTTCATCTCTGCTCAAACCTTCACTTGTTCTTTGGCTGCTGCACACTTTGTTTTTCTTTCAGAGAAAGTTCCAAACAACAAGGTGTTTAAAAGGTTTTTTGTTTTCCCTCCACTCAGATGTGGTCACCTGTGGTCAGAGACGTTGACAGAAGTCGATCTAAGACCCCAGGTCCAGAAAGGAGAGGCTTTTAGTCACGATCTTTGACCAAACTAAAACATGTTATTTTAGGTTCTGTGTTGTGACCCAGGAGTCTGGTCACTTTGACCAGGGAATATTTTTAAAAAGTACATTTACCCTGGGGGCAGGGGTCCTCGACCTATGACCTTTTTTGGTAACGTTGCGATGTCCCATAAATGAATTAAGAAAGTCTTGGTCCAGGATTCTGATGTACAACGTTAAAACTTTTTCATTTTGTACCTGTTGGGGCGGATGAATATGTCGTCACGTTTTGCTATACGCAGATGACGACTTTGTTTACATCCGGTGTTGACATGTGCTTGGAAACGTTTTGCCCTTCATTATGGCTCTCAGGCAGGTCCGACCCAACCTGATGTTTTTAGTTCAAAGGTTATGATGTCACCACAGTGTCAGCGTGGGTGAGCGACGTACAGTAGGTGCTGACGTACGGTACGTGTGTTCCGACTTATACAACAGTCGCATCACGTCACGTCAAGTAATAATTCAATGGCTCCTGTGACCAATCAGGATCTGATCTGAGAAAAAAACCCTGAACTACTCCTTAAAACGCTCTGTGGAAAATATTAATATTTCAATTTTCACCCACTTAAACAGCCCGAGTGTTGGATGAAGTCTCTCTGAGTGTGAAAACAAAGCGTGTCGTCTGTTGTGCTGCCGCTGACGTCAGTAACAACAGCCTCATGTCTGGTGTCTCTGAGGTGGAATATCAACAACACCAATCAAATCAGACTCCCCCCTCCAGCCCCCCCCCCCCCCCCCCCTAATCGTGTTTTTTTTTTCCCGGGGGGGGGGGGGTGTGTGTTCATGTGTGTGTGTGTGGGGGGGGGGATCACACAGTCTACACATTAAGCAGGTCAGGTATTGTGATTCTCACTGATGTAATTGAAAGTAATGAGATTGGAGTGTCTCAGCGGGCGTCCACCGTGTCCAACGCCTGGTCTCAGTGTGAGACTGCGTTACGAACGGCGTGAAGACAAAGAGGAACAAACATCAGGAATCTATTTACCAACCCCGACCATTTTCTCTCCTTTCTTCCTTTTATATTCAGCCCGGCAGACGCCGTCACTCTGATCCCCTAAATGAATAGTTCCTGCGCGTCCTAACGCCTGTCGCAGCCGCCTGACACTTTCTTTCTTCAGACTCGTCCCTCATCACTTCCTGTCAGAGCCCAGCAGGAAACAAACAGTGAGCTGCCGTCAGCACGGACAGCTGTTATTAAAATTGCAGCACGGGAGGCGCCGACGTCAAGCAATCATGGTATGGATTTTCAGAGATGGAGAGAAAAACCAGGAGTTCAAATCTGAAGATGCAAATGAAGAGCTCACGATTGGAAACAGGAAGTGGCGAGATGTGGTGGTGGACACGTTCAAGAAAATGAGAACAAAATGAATTTAAGTTTGTTGATTGACACAACCAATTAGACTAATTAGACTAATTAGACTGGTTTGGACTTAATCTGATTTAATCTGCAGGAAACAACAGGTTTTACAGTTTTATTTACTTGCAACAGGAATGGGTGTGTGTTCACATTTTATTTTTAAAATTTTACTTTGTGAGAACTAATCTTCACCTGGACTACTTTTATTTTTGAATTTCTTGAGGAAATTATAAAAATGTTTTGGGCAACGTTGCTGAAAACACAGACACACACACAAAAACATCCAGACAAAGCCTGCTGTGCCGCTGCTGTCCAGGTGGTGGCAGAGGTCACGCAGGTGGTAACAGACAGGATGTAATTAGTGAATGTAAATATCAGCAGCTCCGCTGTGATTAAAACCAACAGACGGTGGTTCCATTCTGGAACATTCCATCTGACACACACACACACACACCGTCCTGTGTGTGTTGTGACTGTTTTTGAATATTACAGCTGTCAGGTCAGACTCACAGCTGGACACTGTGGAGAGTTTAACTAAATACGTTTGCATGGTTAATGACTTTGTTTTTGGTCATTTTATTTTGAAAGAACAGGAAGTACAGGTTACCACCGAGGATCAAACCGTGATCTTTGTTAGTTGAGGCGACAGCACTGACCCACATCCCACCAGGTGTTTTGTCTTTAACATAAATGACATAGCTGAGCCATAGTTTGGACCTCGACCTGCTCCTCCTGCTCCTCCTGTTGTGATTGGTTGCCCCGCCCCCCAATCAGTCTCACCTGTTTCCACTTGTCTCCAGTCAATTTAAGCAGAAGCTGCAGTCACTTTGTCTGGTCTGTTCTCTGCTCACCGGCTCTGTGGTTCCTGGGTCTTTGTGGGTTTTTTTTTTATATATTTAATTTTTTTCCCCCTTTCTACTTTTATTTGTGGGGGTTTTTTTTTTTTTTTTTCCTTTCTACTTTCAGTTGCACCACCTGAGGGTTGTTGTTTTGTTTTTTTTCTTTGTGCAAATGCTTAAGGACTTGTTTTGTTTTTCATGAACCTTCAGTAAGAATTCATCAGCTACAGATGAATTCATTGTTTTCAATATTTCAAGTTCACGTTGGAGCCTCAGCCTGAGGGAAACTCTCTTCAAAAACTGAGAAGATTTTCAATCCAAAACTCACACATTTGTGATTGGACTCTGTCTCTGGATCTGTCTTTTCAAATGGTGGTTCGAGGGCTACATGTGGCTCAAACACAACCTGAATTTACTACTGTTAAAAAATATATAAATATATTTTTTTAACCCAAACTCCCGTCTTCAAACAGTCGTTACCTGCAGCAGCAGCCGCTCGTCTCCGATGACGGCAGCTTTTCTCCAGTCGATGACCTCAGAGAAGGGCAGTTCCCAGCCGTTGCTCAGGATCACTGGTATACAGGCTGCCTGTGTGTGGACACGCCCACAATCACCACACGATAACCACAGCAATTCTACTATTTAAATACTAACACAAAACTGGTTGATCGTAATCAAGACAACATCTCCAGAACTTTAGTATCGTGTATTTTCTCTGGCTGTTTGTGAGTGACGCAGCGAGACGAGCAGATGATCAGTGACCTATCAGGTTGTCATACATCAGATCAGACTACGTGTGTCGATTTAGTAACTAGTAGTAATGAGGAGGACTAAGGTCCAGGTTCACTGATGATCCAACAACACAGGAACACAGACCTGGTAAAGACAGACTGTACGGCAGACGGGGGAGGCAGGT